AACGACACGGGTCGCACAAAGGTGTATCATATCTTTATTAACATAATGCGAGAAGGTGCTCTCCGCGCAAGCAAGGACCTGGCAAAAACCCGTCAATCAAAAACCCGATCCTCGAGAAAAGGGCTAGTTAGCCTGGTCGCCCTTGCATTCGCGCCCTTGCGAAAAAATAACGTATGCGCCATGCAATGCATGTCGCTTTTGTAGAAAAACTTTTTCGGAACTGTTACATTATGTTCCACGAGTCACACTTGGGCACTACCGTCTCACGCATCATCGCTCCCGTTTTCTCGCGACATTCACGGGTCAATCTCAGGACCGTACTTCGTACGGTTTTATTAAAAAAAAAAAAAACAATATAAAAAAATGTATTATACTTTTATACATCGCGAAATCTTGCAAGATATACTTTCATGCGGCATATCTTTCCAATGATCGAATTTCTCATTTTCCTGATTTGCGGGATTTAAATATTTGAGCATAGATAACGATTCATAAAAAAGCATATGTATCATTAAAATAGTGTCTCGCAAAATCAAATTAACTGTTAAATTAATAAATGTAATGTTTGCAACGCAGGGTGCCGCAACTGCCTATTACATGGTTGTTACGTCTTCTTGACCAGTATATAATATTCGCATAGATGACCGGACGGGGATCCTTTGATATCCTGGCGTGTCAGACGTGTGACAGCTCGGACAATACCAGAGATCCCCGCGTCACTGATTGTCACTTGTTTCTTGCCATTTCTCTTTCTCTCTTCGATTTCGGCCACTACGATTCCGCGCAGGTTCTCTTCACAGTTCGCTGTTCGACGCCTCTTTCTCCTATTTCAAATTCAAATACGGGAAATCGCAAGGCGGACCGTAACCCTACGCCTTGAGAACTAGCGAACGCGAAATCCCACTGACCATTCGAGTATCGATTTGAAATACTTAATGCGAAACCCTGGATGCAAGCGAAAAGTGATCACGTTGCATTTACGTGCACTAAGGAAGTTAATAAGAACGGGGATCGGCCTTCGACGAGGATATAGAAGAAGGTGGTGAAGGAAGGGGAAAGTGGAAGAGCATAATGTTCCTCATTGTCGAATCACTTCCGGGGCTTGACCTCCAGTAACGCCCTAAAGACCAGTTCGCATGGACAATGTCTGCGAATAATAGACACCGATGTGTTCTATTGTATGCTTGAAACGGCGGACACGCGAATTGTCTAAAATACCTACTTCAGGATGGACCAACAATTTAATAATGTGATCGACAATGCGATCTATGTCGATGTTCCACTCACGCTTTCAAGAAATATTATAAAGGAAACATACATCTTTGATGCTGCGATTTTATGAATTTCAATAAGGAATAAAAGAGCAAATCTTATAATCAGCCTGATAATGAATGTGAAAAAATGTCAATATAAACAAATTTGTCGTTTTTATTTTCATAAAAATTAATAACACAGATTTTCTATATATTTCTTTTTTTTTAAATCTCTTCTTATTATATCAAGTAATTAGAAACAATAGTATAGCTATGTATATTGATTTTGAATGTGTTTGAATTATATCAATATGATAACATCATATATCGCGCATCAACCACGGAATGGAACTCGTGCGGTTGACGATGGCACATCGAGGATCACCATTAATATAATTTGTCAGTTGCATACGTCGCTAACAGCGAAATTTTCCGACCGATTTGCCAAAAAAGTGCCCCGTATGGGCGACGAGGCGCGTGCGGCTGCTTCAACATGAAAAACAAGCGGTACTCTGGTCCTCCTTTTCTCCCACGTGGTTGCTTCGAAAGGCAAACGGTCTCCAATCCGAGTCAAGAGACCTCAAGAGGGGTTGCCGGTAACCGTGTGGAAAAAAAAACGCCGTCGGTTTCAATATGTAGACGAAGAAAAGTAAAAAAGAAAATGTTGAAAAGAGAGAATATATGCAAGTAGCTGCGAAGAAGTAAGAGAATCTCGTGAGCTTAAATTTGATGTTTCACCTGAATGATTCTTAATGTATATTCTTAATGTAACATATAAAAAACTTTTTTATGTTTCCATAATATATAATAAGAATTTGATAAGAGATCCATTATCTCAAACACGATTATGCAGCAATTATAAATAAACAATTATAATTAATAAATACAGATAATAATCCCCGATGTATTTACGATATTTTCATGCTCTGAAGAAAGCTGAACCGAAAAAGAAAAAATGAACCGCAATATATAAGCGAAATATTTTAAATGTATTAAATCAATTTTTTAAATTAATTTATTTTTGCGCATATATCACCCAATTCTCTTTTTCTTATTATTATAATTTAACAACGTTAATTCCATTATTAATTTAATTAATTATAATTAAAATTACGCATAATAATAATTCACGCATTTAATAGTGCATTTAATAATATGATATACATATGAAAATATTTCTCTCCCTCTCTTCCGCCTCTAACTTAGTATCTATAATAAATAAAATTTAAAATGTAGCTTATTATTATTTATATAAAACACTGTTTTACATGTCTTATATAGAACATATTCTACAGTTTGTTGCTATAAATGCATTGATTCCTGTTAGAACTTATGTGCGCTTCATTTAGCATACTTTATTAAAAAAATAAATTTTTACGCATTCAGAAAAATTATAAATTTTTCAAACGTGCTTAAAAACATCTCCCAAAAACATTAATCACATGCAAAATACATTATAATTCAGAGGAAGAAACTTATTTTTTATTTCTTTATTTCTTGCAAAATTAAAGGGGGAGGGGGGTTGGTATATTTTATGTCAACATTATCATTGTAGATTACAACGATGACGATAATGATGACGATCATGAAAGTAACTATTGCGAGGACAAAATTGTATATGCTCTTTTTATTTCTTTCATTCTTTACTAAAATTTCTAAGAAAAATGACATCTCCATTTTTCTTCGCTACGTTTTTCTCTCGTTCCTTTCATTCGCGTCCGCTGTCTGATATTTCGCGTTGATCATTTAACTCGAGTTCTCGAAATCATTCGGCAAATTGGAACCGGCCCTCACGCGAGGGGTCTCTCGGCCGAATGAACTTAAGCTTTAGATTGGTTTAGTCGCCACGCAAGCACGCCGCAGGTCGGTTGCCCTGCGGATCACGCGTCACCGAACAGAATACACCAGAAGAGGAGCGAATCCCGATCGCCTCCCCTTCTTTTTTCCATCTTTTTTCCTCTTATACTTTATATTTATCTCACCCTTTTTGAAAGATTGGGAAAATGAGGTAGAAATCTCGTGGCAGGTGATGTAATGGTGATACCTAAACTACCGACAAGCAATTCGGATCCCGACAATAATTCGAGACCCCCGTAAAGGTGACTGTTACGTTCCCTTTCGCAAATTCTGAAGTTACACATGCAATAAAATAACATGAAAATATTATCGTCTAAAAATAAAATTTTCTCTTAATTGTCTTTCTTATAAAAATCCGGAAATATTGCGACACACTTCAGAAATTAATAAAAAATAAATGAAAAATTTTTTCTCTCGAAAATTAGAAAATTATTTCTTAATATCCCGCATTATTTTATTATTTTGATCATTAATTGATCTCAGATTAATGTGTGTATGTTTCTCAAAAAATTAATGTTTCCAGATTGACTAGAAAATTAATTCAGAGCGATCATCCTTAATCCGACAATCCCATAAAAACTTCCTGATCTTCCGCGATATAATTCGGGGTGGATAAACCAAGGAAATTTAGGGCGAATTTCGGTTTCGAGGTCCTTATTCTCCCTTCATTGGTCTCGCGTCTCGAGAACTTCAGTCCGTTTCCTATAGGATGTGAGAAAAGGATTAGGATTGGGAAATAACGTGCGAATCGATCGAAAGGGAACTTTTTTGCTTCATCGGATTTTGAAAAAGGTTCGTGAGATCCCAAAGATTCGTTACCGACATTGTTGTAGAAATTCGATCATAAAGTGTATCCTACTGCTATGATTTTAATATTTTTATATTCAAGCTTTTAAGCAAAGTTTTTTTGTGATAAAGTATTTTTATAATTTATGCAATAAGCATATTTAAAAAAATTAGCTTATTTAAAAAACTAAAATATTAATTACCACACTGAGAAAAAATATAGTCAATTTTAATAAATATTTAGTTGAATACTGCCAACTAAATATTTATTAAATATAAAGACATATTTACTTGATACAAGAAACATTAATTTGATTTAACAATCATTCATTTTACTGAACGAATATTTATTTATAGTAAGTAAATGTTTAGTTGGCAGTATTGAACTAAATATTTATTAAAATTGACTATATTTTTTCTCAATGTAGATATGTTAATTTTAGTATTATTCTCTCTAAAAATTCGATTAAAAATCTGAATAATTTTGAAAACTTTCTATCAGTTCACATCTCAGTTTGTACGACATTCAGAATAAACAGATCGACATGAGAAATCGTGGCTGATTCTCTCTCGCGATGTTTTCCCTCTCGCGCGCTTGTACGTTTACGCGCGTGGGGTTGATAGATCGGCCCGACGAAACGAAGGGGTAGTTTGGCTTTAATCGATCCTGTAATCGCCAGTCCGACAGTTGGCCCCGGCTGCCTTTTTGTCGGCAGTTAGATGGATGGTGCCATTTACATTTTGTCAGTGCGACATGCGCTAACGCCGCCGCTATCATATCTATCACACCCTTTGAATCAGTACGCGATCAGTTTCCTACCGTTCAAATTTGGAAATCTTTTCTGAGCGCAAATGTGATGCAAATGTCAGTAAATTTCCAAAGATGGAACTGATCGTGAAAATCACAATCGATTATGTTATCACGTTAATTTCGTAAAACATTATTACATCGCAATTTAAAAAATTCGTTAGAAATTAATAACAACATTCTCACAATGAATTCTACAAATAAATTGCAAATACTTTCATTATGCAAAAGCAGGAATTATCCGTTATTGACGATTTCATGGACTGACTCCCCGATCCTGACTTCGAACATCGATTTTACAGTCGACTTAGGAATGTGCGGTCCACCGTATGCACTTCTAACAGATTCCATAGGAATCCGAAAATTTCGGAGGAATTGAAATAGAAAGTTGTCCAGCAAGACGATCCAATTGACAGATCTGTCAACGTGGATGACACCTTCGGCGAACGAGTCGACCAGGTGTTTGCTGTCGAAGCGAGGAGATGATTCTGTCTATCTGCTCTTCCCTCTTTCTCCTTTACTGTTACCGGCATCTGCCGGATAATACCCGGGATTATAGCAGTAGGATAGAAAACCCACATCGGCTCGGACGCGGAATGAAACATTCCTGCGCCGAACTCGAACCATAAACAGATCGATCATCTTTCAAACGGTTTGACGACAATCTAAAATCGAGATGATATCGAATAAAATTCGCGTGTGAATTCTCGTGTATCGAATATGTAAACGTATGTTATTTATTTGAGAAAAGTCATAAATATTTGAGTAAAAGAAGTTAAATTTAATGATTTTACGTTAGTTATATATAGCATAGCAGAAAAAGGAATTCTAGATTTTTTTTCACGTACATATAAGTATATTTTTATTATTTGATAAAATAAAAAAAGAAATAACAACATTATGTATATATTTATATATCACATATATTATATAAACATAATATAT